CACAGTAATATTCCACTCTTCGCAGTCATATCTAAAATCAAAAGCTGCAAATGAATAATTTAATTATTCAAATAATAGAAGACTGATACGTGCTTTCCTTTTTTTCTGATATTTAACATTTCGATACATAATTCAATTTTTTATGGAAAGAGTTCTTAAAGCCATGAAAAGTTCTCGTCCGCAAAGGGTGAACAACGTATGTAAAAACAAACTAAAGCTGAGAATAAACCATTAAACCAATATTATGAGTCACTATATTAGTACACAATTCAAAGATTAATCTGCAGAAACCTACGCAAAACTATTCTCTTTTACTCTCCTGAGAAATCATCCAAGTTTTCCTTCCGCTCACTTGTTAACCTTAAACGAAGTTGCCATGGAGAAACTCTGCTATCGTCGTTAATTGAAATGTACAAAGTTACAATACCGCAAAACGTCGCAGTACGAGCACATTTCCGACACGTGTCATGACGTTGTAGCCAAGATTGTTCAAATGTCAAGCGTTCCATCGCCGAATTGTCTGTCAAAATTCCCACAGGCATTGATGTTCTCAATTTTTCATCCTTTCATTTCAAACAAACGTTAACGGGACCCGCGTTGAACCCTTCTTGGAAAATCGATTAACTCCATAAAACAAAAAATCGAGAAAGGTGATGCAATAGCTGTACAATGATTTTCAAAATTTCCTTTTAAATATAAAATTAAATAATCATTATAAAACGTATTTCACTTCATTATTACAGGTGTAGCTTCAATTTAAATGATACGTAGAATGTATAAAATAGTATAACTCCAAAGTAATTTTTATTATTGCTGCAAGTTTTGCATAGGCAATAGAATTTTTCTTATTTCATGGTATCACACCCAATAATAAGGAAATTTATTTTTAATATCAAAAGTCAAGAATCAACGCAGCGTTTTAACGATAAAATCTTAAAAAATCCAGAAGGTGGAGTTAATCGATTTGGCAAGTGAGCCATTCAAGTATTACTCAATTCTAGTAAATTCGAATGAAATATTCTTTTTCCGTTATCATTTATTATGTTTTTGAGCAAAGGTGGACATAGAATACCCATAAAATTTTTCTCTTTTTTCAATCAATTATTCGTGACCAAGTTGTTCTTTTGATCACAGTTGACAAATAAATCGTCGGACAAGGGGTTAGTAGGAATCTTGTGTACGATTCTTTCGACGAAGGAACACGAAACGGTCTTTCGTTGCTCGTTAACACGTCCCCGCGAGAATTCGTATTTTTCGGTTAAAAAACTTTAGGTTTGTGTGATTTAATCATTGGTACTTTTTGATTGCTCCTAATGGACCGGTCCTAATGGAAAAAGATCGTAGATGCGATTTTATTTTTGAGCTCGATGCATGATCTAATCCGTCTACACTCGTTGTGGACGATCGCCAAATATCAATGTCGAACAATTGACGAAAAAGTTGCACCACACCGGCGCGTTTGCGGGTAACAGGCGCCCCGTCACGTGCCGCGGGAAACGCTGTCACATTAATAAAACTGAGCCAGAGAGTTGTAGTGGTCATTGGTACATTCTTCTGGGTGAAATGACTAAAGTGAAGGTAAGTTTCAATAACTAAGCGCAGTTAGGATTATGTAAATATAAATGTTCAATATTTAATATAAATATTTATATTTATAATATGTAAATTTATAATATTTAATGTAAATATCTATATTTGTATATATAATATTCATATTTATAATATAAATATAATATAACCAATATATGATATACATATTTATATATAAAATTTATCATATAAGTACGTTTTCCTTATAGACTTGACTGATTAGTTATTGGTACATTTAGTTTACTCAAGAATACACTTACTTATTTTCAGATGTTTATGGTAAGTATTGAAGTATATAAATAATGAATTTTGTCAATTTTCTTTCATTGTTCTTTCTTATTTTGTTTATATCTTATAGAATGCAAATAGAATATGAATTTCATTGAGATTTCGAAAGATCTTCATATAATTTCGCAGAAGATTTGTAGAATTTTAAATATGTACACAAATAATGTTTGCAGTAAACGTATGATCTTCACTTATAGAAAGTATATTTAGTAAATCTGCTAAATCATAATCTAAATTTTGACTTCTTAAAATAATATATTAAATGATAAAAATTTACTCGATGAATTTTCATTAAAACTGAAACAATAAGAAAAGATTAACATCCTTAAATATATGTTTCTTTGAAAATTCATTTTAAATCATAACTGTACCAGATCTGAAACAGCATTTCATTATTACCGTTGTCTCGTTCAAAACTAATTGCTCCTCTTCGGAGGTCGTTATCGACTACAAAAGAAACACGTGCACGTGAATGTAACGCTCGCATGGGATAACTACGTTTCAAAATTTTACAACTTCAATGGATTATTCTTATCTCGAATTCTGGATCATTGCAACGCCACCAAATAAAACGGCAGACAACATTGACAAATATAGTGCAATTCTTAGTAAAGACATTATCAAAATCCTTGAATTAAAGCATCGATAGAAACGTCTCTTTTTTTCTACTCTTCTTTTCAAATGACGATTCCAATGATCTAACTCGTTCACAATGTCCGAAAATAGTTTATTGCCAGCACTATGTTCAAAAATTGTATTCATCAATTAATTTTTTGACAAAACAATTCAGTGAACAAAAAAGACTATATTTAAAGAAGTAATCCTCAGTAAGTTCGTGTCTTATTCTTGGCCATTTAAAAACAACAGCACGTATTTTCAAAAAAGTTTTTAATCCTGCACCGTTTCAGAAAATGTTATAAATTTACTAATTAAATACTCAGATTAAAAGTTTATTGATATTTATTAAAATCTATTGAAATAAATGAACTTGAAAAGCTTTTTGCAAACATTTTTTCTTCGCGGATATTTATTTTTCTTTATATTTCATTAAACGAGAAACAATGTTGCTTACAAATATTCATTTCCATAAATATTTTCTGATTTGTTTTGTGTATTCCTGCCTATTCAGTAAATTATTTTTTGAATGAGATAGTTCTGCGGTATAGTCTTTAAGAGTTTCAATAAAATTTCTTGACAAAGAAAAAGAAATTAGAAAATATTTTAGGAAAACGTTTATGTACTGATTCCCGTCGTTCAAACCATAAACCACCGAACTATCAAAGTCAAGAATTACTAGAGCGATGTGTAAACTCGAAAGGTAAACACGAACAGCCATGAATGATGGCGACAGTATTAAAGTGTCTGGGACAGCGTTAATGAAAATACTGAATACCAAGAAAGCAATCTATTTACTTTCGCATCTAACCAGTCGATTGAGCGAATTTATCACATTTACGATGCATCATAAACAGTAAACAATCAGACAGCGTTATTTAATTTGCATCCTATTTTATCTTGTTTTACGTTTTCAAAGAGGCATCTGGAAACAAAAATGTTTAGACCATCGAAATTTCGCGTTGAAATGTAAATTCAGGTGTTTATGAATTTTTTAAACTTCACGAAACATAATTCAATGTTATGTTCTACGAGCATAATTCAATGAAAATCTTCTTCCTTCTGTATTGGAGATACTGGAAAATTTATTCATCGATTCGATAACTGTATTAACTCGGAACATATGGGTGACGAGAATGATTCATAGTAAATAAACTGATAAATCTGGAGAAGCTCACTTTAACGTTGTTTAATTAAACATTGATGAAAATAAAAGCAAAATTCAAGGTTACTTACGAAACATTGAAAGTTTGTACAACTTTCTTGCAACTAATTATTTTAGAATCAACATTGAAAATTAAAAAACAAAATAAACAAAATTTATAAAATTGTGAACTGGATACACATGCAATGACTCACACATTTCTTTGCACACTTTGAAAATAATAATCGATCGTGCACATTATTTGCTTATTCTTGTGACACTTACTTTCAACACATTTCCAATGTTTCAATACAAATTTCAGTATATTCGATACGGTTACTGTCAAAATATGACACAACCAAAAGTGAAATATATTGAAATAATTTCCACAATTTTATCTAGAAGCAAACAGAACTTTCATAAACGATACTAAACGCCTCTTTGCTTGTCTAAATTGCTCGACAATGGTCTATATTTACATAAACACCAACAGTCTTTTAATAACGTTATCAAAAGAAACAATCAACGGAAAGAAAGTGCAAGTACGAAAGTAGGGAACTAAATGTACGTTAAATAACGCGAATAATGGCTTAAGTGCCCGAAGAAAGACGTCCAGTGGCACCTTTCGCGGCCGACTCGATTCATCAGTGTCATTCACATCCCCGCTGTCTGCTATCAAAATTTCATCTCTGATCAAAAGCCGCTGCCCGATAAAAAACGTCAAAATATACACGTTGCGGCGAAATGTATCAACGAGCGGTACGTTGACACAACGCTGACACTTCGCTGGAGTAATTCCATTTCGCAAGGAAGGCCTTGCAAGATTAATCACTTTTCCGGTACACAAAGCGTACGCGCGAATCGACCACAGCCGCATAAAAAACCAAAGCCGTGGAAAAACCAGCCACTCGCATCGTTCCACATATATAGACGCGAAACAGTTTAAATTTAAATCCTTCTGTGGATCTACCCAACCAATTCTATTTAGCGTTGCTAACTTCGCGCGATCATCGAAAAGAAACGGTGTAATTAAGTAGACCAAGGTGATCAAAACTAAAGATAAACCTCCGTGGAGTTATCAAAATTCTGTTAAATCCACTTCTCTCAGTTGAAAGAAAATAATTGCTCTTGTAACGTATCGTAAACCAAATAGATAAAGTAACGAATAAATTCATCGAAATTAACGATTGCAGTTCATTACTGAATAAATCAACGCGAAGAATGGAAAAGTTTCAACGAGCAATGTTTCAAGGTCTAACAGGAAACGGCGACAGAAGGTGACGGCGATGGTTTAACCGATTTTTGCAAGAAACAAATAATCGAGGAGTGAAGGTTGAGAAATGGCAGTGATCGTGGTACTCACATTTCACGTTGTCAATTCAGAGTATCCAGATGCGAGAATAGATACTGGTAACCCATGGATGACGGCGATTGTCGTCCGATCTGTAAGCACGTGCAACGGTCGGCTGCTTCCGCGCGACTGAAACGGAGCCGCGCTACTCGAGAACACACGGGCCTCAACCACCAAAGACTGTTTGCTTCTTGCTGCCACTTTGCTACTGCCAGTACCGAAGCCCGTGGTCTTTCTTGGCTTTCCTCCGGCGACGCCAGGCGACCAGAACCGAACCGAGCCTGAGTCTTGATCGTCGGGGTGATCTAGAAATCGACGAAGACATTCGGGTTAAGTTTAACAACAGTGCCAAATCGCACAGCGTACCTCGCCCTTGCACACCTTCTCTCTTCCTTTATTTCCATTCCGATTGTTTATTAACCCTTAGCGCTCCAGGCGATTTTGTAATTTATCGGCAACTCCCAGCTATTTTCGTAGTGGATTACCCGGCCGAAGTTAATATCCTTTGGGCGAAATTGAGAAATGTTTAAGGATTACATTTCTTAGATTTTTTAGTTTAGTTACAATTAACTCTTAGCAGACAAGTCGATTCTGTAATCTACTAGCAACTGCATTGTGTAGCAAATGCAATAATCTTAGAGAAGTTTTTTTCCAAGTTTATTTATTAAAATATTTAATATTATAAATGCTGGCGTACAAGAGCCTACAGAATGCAGAGAGTTAATCCTTAAGTGCTACAGTTGGTTTTTCAGATGGCTCAACATTTTGATTTATGTATAGTTTATTTCGTGCATGACAATGTTGAAACTCCATGTACCTTTCAATTATACTATAATGTTCAGTTACTGAAATTATGGGTAGCTCCTGTTTCTTTTTATACTTTAGTATTGATTTATAATTTGGCAGTGCTGTAACAAACTGTACTACTCAAGGGCTAACCTCTTGCCCTATGATTTCTATCACAATTGTGATCGAGACAACTACTTTGTCATTAACAATTTCCTAGAAAAAAGAAAAGAATTCTAGGCTTATTCTATATTTCCTTTTGCCTAATTTCAAATTTGGGAACATTATAAGAAAACCATACATGTTCTCTCGCATTAAAGAGTATTTTTTCTTTTCGTTAACTATATAGTACCATAATCATACTGTATACACTAAAGATTCGACTACATGCAGCAGATATTTTAAGGCGTGATTCTACAATCCAAAATAAAACGAAAATCGAGAGTGACGAAACTGCGATTTCTCCATCGTTTCCAATATTAACTATTAAAAATGTCTCTCAATACACAATTGACAGAAATGTGCCACTATCAAAGTTTAATTCAACTTTAAGATCGAAACCATAACCATAATTCTATTATTCCCAATCTTCTTATTATAACTTGTTAAGTCATCTCTCAAAATACCTCTTAAAATTCATCGAACACCCTGTATGGTCCCATTCAAAACTTTTTATTCGCCAACAGTAACACTGAGCTACTTCCGGTAGAATAGCGGGTTAAGGACGTTCAGTGAAACTACACGTAAAGAATGGAATTAACGACTTCTCGACCTCCACAGAATCCTTTTTTGTTGGTTCACTGCTCGCTGACCTGTTGCGTGCAAAATAAACGCGCGAAATTACCACTTCCCCTGTATGTGTAGATAATAATAAATTCAAGTTCCTAATAATATTTAATGGAATCATTTACAATAATATTTAATAATAATATTTACATTAAAATATTAACTTAATATTTAACATATTTTTGACCGGTTACGTGTTAATTCGTGTTTGCACTTACATTAGCTATTTTAGTTTTTGAAACGCAGAACAATATAGAATATTGCAAAAGCAAAGTTTCATTTCAATTCATTATGCATGAATAATGTATATTGAAGTTTATTTTATTGTTCCTAGAAACATTGATATTCGTTCATTTACATCGCCGAAGTTAGAGATTCAAAGATAAACGATTATAATATATATTCTTGTAATTGCATCAATCGAAATGATCGTAAATCGATATAAAATCGACATAAACATTCACCAAATAATGTTTATGAAACTTGGTATGCTCCAGATTGACGAGTTCCGCAAAGCTGATATTAATTACGGACTAACCGGTAACATGGGATAGCTTCTGCGTAAAATTTCCGATCATCAATGTGTTAAATATATGCATAAACGTTCCAATAAACTTCCATTTACTTTTCATGAGTGGACAATTTCTTTTCGTGACCTCCATGTATACGAAGACGCATGTCTATCGCATCGATTCCAAAAATTAATATGCACGACGATCGCGTTGATTAGCCGAGTTCATCGATTATCCGACAAGCATGTTCAATTCCATCAAAGGATTCGTTGAACTGTACCTTCGCAGATAATGTGGACCATAAATGGAAACGAGGTCGTAACATTTTTACAGACGCGGAACGACCTTATACTCAACCAGCCACCGACGAATGCATAATATACTTGTGCACAGCATGCTTTATTAATTCGGGATCTTCGGTGTTCTTTGTTATCAGCAATAAATCGCTCGCTCGTAAAAGATACGAAGAAGAACAGGATAAATGGCTATGTTACGCGCGGCAAGATCAAATAACGTATGCAACTTTAACCAGTTAGCTGTGTTTGACGAGTATACATACGTGTCTTCTTAACGCTAAACGTACCGCGACCGGCCAAATGACCGATTTTAAAATTTGATTTAAAATTCACCATTTTCTCTCATCCATTTAACCTTATATCTACCCTTACCTTGTTCGATTAATCAATTTTTTAATTTTTATCTTTGTTTTTGTTTCCACTAAGAAGAATTTATTGTATAAATTATTTATATTTATTTTATAACCAATTATTTGATTAGTTATAGTCAGTAAGTAGGTATTTATGTACAAAGTGTCGCTAGGTGCATTACGCCTGAGTCTGACAAGTACACACCTCATTCTTTAATTTCATTACACACAAAACGAGAGATTTTTGTAATCAATAGTAAGTTTCAGTAAATAAAATGTTGCGATATGACGGAATAAAAGTATTTCGCAATTATTCAACTGAAAATAATGAATGCATATAACAAACAAGGAGAAACAAACGCGAAATCATATGCCATGAGTAAATTATTGGAGAATGATCTATTTTTCAAGTACATTATCATATTAAACGATCTTCATTTTATTTAACCTTCACTTCCCTATCACGAAGCTCCAAGCTTAATCCGTATAATCATGAGTTACGCGTAAACCTTTGCACTTTTTTGTCGTCCTCGTGACCACAGTTGCCGTTCATTATCTGTTACACTTAATCGTGAGGATTTATCGAATTACCGTCACAACATGTATTATCAACCGCGCAAGCACCTTCGTAGAAGGTACTGTATATACGGCATATTCAATTTATAACTATTATCAATTACATCAAACTCCCTAACCAGTTAACACTAAACATACCGGCACTTTGTATGTGCCAATTCCTACCGTAATCAGTTAAATAATTGATTACAAAATAAAAATAAACAAGTTAGATGATACTATTGTCATATATTAACACTAGAAAAGCCGAGCGTTTAACACAATTAATACGTAATCTTTATAAAAATTGTACCAATAGATTTTTCTTCGGTTTCTTCACATATTAATTATAGTATTGAAGTGAAACTATTTATTTTTCAAATCATTCCGGATATTTAACGCGTTTAAGGCATCAATAATCGCGAAATAAGAAAACTGAAACCCGCCATTTTGACAAGAGCGATTGTTCTAGTATCAACATGTTCACTGCCACGAGAATTTCGAGCGTTTTGTACAGTAATATTTTTTCTTTCATGACAAAGGCATTAGTAATAACAAAGTGATATTAGACATAATTGTTAACGATTAGGTACCACAATAGTAATATTAAAGGCGTTTATTTGTCGAAACACTTTCCCCGGTTTTACAATAAGTGACATTATATAGCGAAGATAAAAAGAAAGAATTATTAACCCTCCGAAATTACGAAATTTGATATGTAATATCAAAATTCATGTAATACAGTTATTCACGAAATGTCAAAATAGAATAGTTCTATCCTTTAATTCGTGTATTATTTACATTTACGTTAGTTGTAAAATATATCATGAAGATTTCGTTAGTAAATGATGAATAGATCTAGCGAAAAAACTTTCGAGTGCAAAGGGTTAATTATTTGGTATTAAAATTCTTACGGTACACTATGGTCTAGCTACTCGTGCTATTAAATATTTTTATTCAACATCAATTTTCTTATTATAATTGTTCTCAAGCAATTTGGAAATTCTGGTCATCGATGACCACCGTTGCAGTCAAGGAGTTAATTCTTTCCTGTTATACATCTGCAAGTTGAACAGGCAAACATCTCTTCTCACTTCGTTGTATAAAAGGAACGAATTCCTGTATAAATTTTCCGTTACCATGAATCACGGAAATACCCTCTTTAGCCCTGACAGGGGAGCCCCCCTCGACACGATTATTTTATCGTCGTATCTGAGCATCAACTGACCCCAAAATTTTCCATTCCGATGCCGTGTGTCATGCTACTATGGACCATAAAAGAATTACTAAATAAAAAACGACTTGTACAATAGCAAGATGATACGAAAATATTTATATTAACCTTTATGTTAACAAAAATGTTTGTCGAAATATTTTTCCAGATCTCAATGCTGTAATATTTTTGTGTAAACTGTTTACTTTTAAAGCACAATTTTGTCAAATTTTTACAAGAATGTAAATTGTGTGGGAGAAAATTTACAAACAGGTACTCGAATACCGGGTTGCAAACGTAATTAAGTAATAATTGGACTGCGATTAAGATTTGTTTAGATAACACTTAGTAAGCAGAATAGTATGAAAGAAATGAAAATAAATAGTAAGATCTAATGAATTTTTCGATTTAATTTCAATTTCTTAATGGGAGAAATAAGATTTTAGTTGGTCAAATGAATGCCTGTAAATTATTATATGATAACCATATTTGCCAAATTCCACGGTTCTTTCCACAAATCTATTTTGTTTTATAAATGAAAATATAAGTTCATACTTTCTGCACGGTATTTAAAGGTAGTCAAATCAATTGTCTAATTGATATTAAACTAATTGGTATTTTAAAAATAATAAAATATTGCATTACAAATATCTATCTAAAGACAGTATTTTAAAGATTACGTTAACATAATAACAGTATATATCTCATTTACAGTGGATATAAACGTGCATCATTGAATTCTTGACGAAATAAGTAACTTGAAAGGAAAATAAATTGTATGCTTCCCGTTGAAAACGAAAAAATTCCTTAAACGTTATCGCATCTAAGCATAGGAATTTAACGGCCGTTTCAAGGAGATGTTAGGAAATTTCCATTCTATGGAAAACTTTTAAACAGTAATCCAAGCAAGAGTAGAAGCCGTACTTTTTCACGGAAACTTTTCCTTCGCAAGGCACAATAGATCAACAGTGACTAATGCGCACCAATAAATTCCTACTTTATATAAACGTTTTGCAGCTTGCTTAATAATGAATTTAAAATTCATAACATACTTGTAAATATTTATACGACGCGTTATGTTAATTCAAAATTATCAATTTTACAATATTAAGTTTTAATAAATATCCTATCTGTATACATATACATTTTTAATGAGTATAGATACTAATTATTTTGAATATAGTAAAAATGACGATACATAAAAATGAATTTTAAAATATCATTTGATAACTTATTTGTTAAACAATGAGTTTTTTAAAATTCTTTTCCTTGAAATCTAAAACGAATTAACTAAGAAACGTTGACAAATCCTTCCCATTGTCAAAGTATCAGGAGTCGCTCACACCGAATTAAGAACTAGGAATAATTATGGTGTCTATTTTCATTTCTCCCCTTTTTTTTCTTTATCTTCGAACTTTGATGTTACGCAAGAAATAGTGAGATATAGTCAACAACCGGTCCCAAGCCTAGATTTCGGTTTTATTTTGTGTTTTGAAGCTACTATTTAGAGAGTGGTGCCAAGATGCTCACTCTCAGATGAGGATCGAAAATAACTAAGCCTTTTGCTATCTTCTGGTCATTGACCGACAAGCTTTGTGACCCCCGATAATAAATTTGTACATTTGATTTTTCATTGTGGCCATAAATCATTTGTGGATACATCAGGCATCTCGATTATTGCATAAAAGCTCATAAGGTATCAAATTGGTACTAGATACACAAGGGTTTCTTTACCGGTCTTGTGGTTGAGATTCAAGACTCGTTTTCTATGGCCGAAGACAGATTTAGGAGAAGAAAAGGTATTAAAAAAACTTGACAGACATAAAAGTAATAAAAACTGAGTTATTTGCAAAAGTATATAATATAAGATTATAAAATTTCATCTACATTAGAGTAAGGCTACAAATTTATACAATACATTGTAGTACAATTTATGATACAATATTAAACAAAAGTATTCGCTATGAACTGTAACATTTATCAATTTTTTAATAGTAAAGAAATGTTTAGAACAAAAACTAAACGCATATAATTTTCATCACTCATTGTTGACATTTATAAATGAAGTACAAACAGGTTTCGAATAGTAGCTGTTATGTGATTTACTGAACTTCGAAATTAATTGTTTTAAAAACATAACATAAGATTACTGATTCTGTGAAATCGTTAACAAGTACCTTTCAAATACCCTTGAAAGAAAGACCTGCGAAATATCGAGAGGAATGGAGCAGGCCTGTCTAAACGGTACGGACCTAGGGATGAGTGCAGTAACTTTGATGTTAATCTTTTTCACTTTGTTTATATTTTTTTGTTACATTAAAATTGCTTATTTCGACATTCATTGAACATTTAAATAATTAAATTTGTCGCTCATTATTAACTTGTATAAATTTCTGAAAAAATAGGCACCAAAAATTCTGAATTCTTACCCAATTTGATATGAAAAGTGTTATACACAGCAGTGAAACGGATTGCAAATACCTGTGTACTTCTATTTTCCAATGCAGGTTAATACATTGTGGTCAATGTGACAACAAGCAAATATTAATAAATGCAATATAAAATGACTGTGTATACAATATACAAAATAAATTTGAACAGTTATTTCGAAATGTGTATAATGTATATTAAATATAAAGTTAAAATGATTCTGAATTATTATTAGTAAGAGCAACCACTGTAAAGTACATCTCCTCTGGATCACGTGCCATATATTCTTTACAGACGCGAGCAGCGTCTTCTAATAATGTCTCTGGACTAGTTGGACCATGAGTAATAGGCCCAGCCTTACGGCCATCTGAAAATTTCAACATTTAATCAGATAAATACATCTTAATAATATTACGTGTTAATCAATTAATTATTTTTGTTATTAACATAAAAATATTTACCTAATTCATATAAAACACCATTTTTTTGTATAAATGCCACAAAATGATGATATACTGGTGCTTCTTCACTTGGTGCCTATGAAATATTTTGTATCACATTTTTATAATTATTTGTCAAATTCAAGAATCATACCTCCGTTTGACCTTCATGTGCCATTTCTTCATGAGCTACGCTAATTTCATTTGATTTCATAAGAAGTCCTCCAATCTCTGAATAAGAGAGATTTTTTGATTTGTCTAAAAAGGTTTTCAGAAAACCATCCTTAAGATTTATACTGTAAAATCAATGAAATGTAACATGTACTATTAGATCTAAACTGCACTGATTTTTATACTTCGAATAATAAACTTACGTATCAAGATTATTTGCAACGCTATGAATTAATGCAATTGTACCACATGCATTATGAATGTATTGTTTCATATAATAAACTAAAGGATCTATGGGACCTGAATTAGTAGTATCTTGTTCTTTAACATTTCCTTCACTATCCTCTAATGTGTTATCACTCTACAAATATAAACATTATATAAATGTATAAATAAATAAATATATTAATCCTAAATAAATATAATCACATACATCTAATTTATGAACCTTTTTTTGTAAAGGATAAAGTAAAATAATAGCAACGACTGGCTTAGGTACAAGTGCCAATAAATCTGGTTCCAATCCATAAACATCCACAATACTCCATTCTTTTGGTACACCAAGCTGGTGTAAGAACTACAAACATACATACTATTAATACATTTTGTAAAAATACAATTAATAATAAATTTTATGTTAAAAGAAACATATTTTGCTAATTATATGATGTCATGTGAAAAATAGTGATTTGTTAATGGATAAATATTTTAATATTTACGGCACATAACGATTAATGTCGGAAGTTCTTATTAACAATTGAAAATCACGATGATTTACCTTCGTCATAACCTAAAACAGAGTATAGAAATATTTAAATCATGTTATAAAAGCAATATACGTGTAATTTAAGAATATAAAAATTTACCTCGGGATTTGATTCCAACGGTATCCAAAAAGTCATGATAATTTTTTTATATTTATTAAAAAAATTAGAATAACCCGACAGATAGTGGCGTTATAGAATCTACAATCGATTTACTACATGCGCACATGCAACACTGCACCGGAGTTGTGTATTTTAATTTAAAATTATTATTTAAATGTTCTTCAACAGAAGATTTCAAAAGAAAAATTAATTGAAATAGATTCTATTAATTTACAAAAATATACTTGTTATATTCAAAAATATTTATATACAGAATATGAAGGATTGTTGTAGATCATATGACAACTCGACGAATTTACCGCAAGCTCATTCTTTAACACATCAGAAACATACATACTCGTTAAAATATTTTTGTTGTTATGTTCGAAATAGTTACTGACAAAATAATTTAAAACTTATTTTTACAATATTTCATATTCATGTTTCATTAAAACTTGCTTTTAGTAAGATATTCAATAAACATTATTTTTTTTTGTTCCTTCACTTATAACTGCCGCTTGTCACAATTTTGTTAGCATAAAAGGTGAAAAGAAATCTTATATAATTAATTCTACCGTATTGATGCTTAATTAATAATTTATTATTAGTATTTTATCTATATAATTTATAAGAATATTATCTATAGAGGTACATATAATCTTATGAACTTCAACCTAATGTTTGATAATGTATTTTACTTATCTGATAGAAGTATAACCGTTTTCTTAAACACTTCAACATGTTACATATTTTCAGTACACAATAAAGAAAATGATTCTATGGATTTATGTATTATTGATCCATATTCTGTGTATATTGTATGGATCATCAGAAGATCAATATATTATAATATCGTCAGACATAAAAAATGATGAAGTACCTGAATATCAAAAAATAGATGCAAATAAATATATTCCAACATGGGAAAGCTTAGATAGTCGACCACTTCCAAATTGGTATGATAATGCAAAAATTGGTATCTTTATTCATTGGGGGGTATTTAGTGTTCCTAGTTTTGGCTCAGAATGGTTTTGGAACAATTGGCGAGGTAAGATTATTTTCTAATGATTGCAATATTTATATATTTCTTTCTTTTTTAAAGAACAACATTATTTGATATATAGTTGTTCGAAATAATAGTGTTCTACTACTTTTAGAAGAGAAAAATAATGCTAAATATCATGATTTTATGAAAGAAAGATATCCTCCGAACTTTACATATCAAGACTTCGCTCGTGATTTTACTGCTGAATTTTTCAATGCTACTCAATGGAGTGAAATATTTCAAGCTTCGGGTGCAAAGTATATTGTATTGACAAGTAAACATCATGAAGGTTACACCTTGTGGCCTTCAAAATATTCTTTTAGTTGGAATTCTATGGATGTAGGACCACAAAAAGATCTTATAGGTATTAATTACAACTAATCTGTTTCTTTAATATTGTAAATATATGTTAATATTATATGATTATTAAATGAAAGCTGATATTTATTTAAATTAGGTGAATTAGCAACAGCGATACGAAGTTCAACTAATTTGAAATTTGGTCTCTATCATTCTATGTATGAATGGTATAATCCTCTTTATTTGTTTGACAAAGGAAATAACTTTACTACAGAAATTTTTGTTCAGCAAAAGATAATACCTGAATTACATGAACTAATTGAAAAATATAAACCGGAAATTGTATGGTCAGATGGTGATTGGGATGCATCCGATTCTTATTGGAAATCAAAAGAATTTTTGTGTTGGTTATACAATGAAAGTCCTGTAAAAGAGACAGTTGTTGTTAATGATAGATGGGGTGCTAACATACCATGTCATCATGGTGATTTTTATACATGTACGGACCGTTATAATCCAGGTGAATATTAGAATTTGCTAATGAAATAACATTAGTATTGTATGTGGCTAAAATATTTTTTTTAAAATCATTAGGAGTACTTCAACCTCATAAATGGGAAAACTGCATGACTATTGATAAAAAGTCTTGGGGTTTTCGTAGAAACGCTCGTTTATCAGAATACCTCACATTACAAGAATTGGTGAAAGAATTAGTAGTTACTGTAAGTTGCGGAGGAAATTTATTAATGAATGTAGGACCGACAAAAGATGGTATTATTTCCCCAATTTTTGAAGAAAGACTACGTGGAATGGGTATGTAAATTGTTTTATGCATATCTGATGTAAGATAGGATATTATAAGAAGTGCTTATTTAATAGGTAATTGGTTAGCAACAAATGGAGAAGCTATTTATAATACCAAACCATGGAATGTGCAAAATGATACTTTAACTACTGACATTTGGTATACCCAAAGCAAAGATGAGAAACAAATATATGTATTAGTACTTCATTGGCCAGAGAATAATATATTGTACTTAGGATCACTTAAAGTATCTGTAAACACATCAATTTTCTTGCTCGGATCAGATCAGCCAATGAAAGTAAGTACTTTTAATCGTGTTACATAAAAAGTTATCAGTGGAAAAATTGTATAAACGGTATGGTTTGTAATTAATATGTATAATAATATTATATATGAAATTTTAGTGGAAACAAAATGGAGAAAAATTAACTATATTCATGTCATCGGAATTTCATAAAGGACAACCAGCTTGGACATTAAAAATAAAACAAAAGTAAATTATACTACTTAATAACTATAATGAACATCTTTAGAAATTCTATTTTATTGAGAACAATGTTTATATATAAATGCGTATATAAACTTCAACAAGGACATATCCATTACCTCTTATAAAAATATACCTTTATAACTGTGTGTTTTATATAATGCAGATACTTATACATTTTTGTAATACATTAATATAAATTTTAACTTTTTTATAAACAACTTCAATTACTGAAGTTGAGCTACTTCATACAGATAAGCACCAAGTAATTTCGTCTGAAATAAAAGTCAATTATTATAGAATCTGAATAAAATATTTCTGAAAGATATTTTATCTCTTATGAAAAAATACTTACACCCTCGATGTAATTGCGGACATTTAACTTTTCATTTTGTGAATGAGCTCCATCATCACCAGCACCAACTGGTAAGAGCAAAACATTTTTACCTGTTACTTCTTGGAATGTTAAAGTAACTGGAATTGAACCACCTTCACGTGATAAATCGGGATCAACTTTATAGACATGTTTAGTAGCCTTTCGCCCAGCTACATAATGCGGATGATCAGGATTTTCAGACCATGGTTTTCCACCATGAACCAAACTAACATTCATTATATTTGGACTGCCTCTAGCAGCCCATTTTTTATTTAAATATGTTTTTACTCTTTCAAAGGTCTCATCAGGAGTCATATCTGGCACCAATCTAATTGAAAATTTACCAATAACTTTTCTTGGAATGACAGTTTTTGCGCCTGGTTCACTGAATGCGCCTTCTATTCCATGAAGGGATAAGCTAGGTTGTCTCCATCGATGCATCAGAAGTTGAATCTAATAATCAAACAAAGAACATTAATACCTATGTATTATTATATTTCTATCTAATAAACATTTAACATGAAATTACCAAATTACAAGTACATACCTTATCTTCGTTATGAGCCAATCGATTAGTTCCAATAGATTTTTTATATTCACTCACATCAAATTCTATTGTTTTATAAGCATCTAATTCTTTAGTTGTAATCTTAGCAACATTATCATAAATGCCTTCTATTAAAATCTTTCCATTAACATCGACCAATGTATTTAACAAATAAATTAAGTCTGCCATTGCTTCATGTACGCTTCCACCAAATGTACCACTGTGTAAATCTTTAGCAGCACAAGTTACTTCCACTTCGAAGTAAGATATACCTCTCAAACCATATGTAATGCAGGGTTTTGTAGTACCCAACCAATAATTATCAGAAATGCATACATAATCTATATCTTGTAGGAATGTATCTTTGCGTGCCCATAAAAGATCATCTAATCCTTCGCTTCCACTTTCTTCCATACCTTCAAAAACAAACTATAATCGAGGAAGAATTAATAACAAATGGTTATAAAGTTACCAAGATTTTAAAATAATGACAGTACTTTCAGATTTACAGGAACATCAACTCCAATAGCTTTAAAAGCTTGTAATGCATGAATCCAGCAAAGTACAGGACCTTTGTCATCTGTACTTCCACGCCCATACAATTTGTTATCTTTCTCTACAAGAGTAAATGGATCTGTATCCCAACCATCTTCTTTCAATGCTGGTTGAACATCTAAATGCCCATATAAAAGAACAGTTTTTTTCTTTGGATCAGACCCAAGGTTTCCTAATAAGACAGGTGGCAATGGAATTTCATCTCCATTTGGAAGCATTTGCTTTCCTATATCTGCTAATTCTGTAGTAGCACCCAGTTCTTTTAATCTACTTTCCGCCCATTTCATCATTTTAATTATTTCATTTCTATGGTCGGGCCATGCAGAAACAGATTTTATAGCCACTACCTCATGCAAGTTATTTATGTATTCTGTTTTATGTTTGTCAATATAACTAAAAATTAAATGGAAAATAATTTATAGTTGTATAGCTTTTATTATAAATACATCTCGATTAAATGAAAATTTTATGATATTATAATAATATTGTTTAATGAATACCTAAACAAATTATTTAAAGTTGCTGGAAGTTCTGAAGCCATAATTTGATTTTATGAGGGGAAACCAATTTCTTTAAAACACTATTACACCTTCCTGCACAGTATCTTTAACAATGTGAAAAATTATTCAGCAATGGCACGAATATATAGATAGTCTTATCGATGCATATGAGATAAATATGCATTTAGAAGTGATAAAAACCCTATTATTCGTTTAATTTAGCATACATAATTTTTGCAGTATTGGCATATTCACGGTAAGAAAGAGCTCTATTATTTGATGTATAAAAA